AGGAGGCTTCAAACCACAAAGATAATGATTATGATACAGATTTAGTTGTGTTAACTGCCATGATGTTCCAGAAGGGGCAAGATGGGATATGAAATACTGTACTACTAACCAAGGCTTCTTGCATTTGTACTGCCATAGCATTTATAAGCTGCCATCATGAATAACGAGCTTTCACTGCAGTAGACACTGAAAAAAACATTACAAGGTGATGGACCTTCGTTGTAAACAATTTATGGGAACCAGTAGCCTAAATGGATCAGAACTAGGCATTTTAACAAGTAAGAGCTCCAGAGATAAAACTAGTGTCCACAGATACATTTCAGGACACAAGGCCATGTGAAGTTCTTACAGGACCTGTGATGGATCTCCTTCATGCGTGAGTATCAACTAATTTGAAATCTTGCTACCCTAGTTAAATTACATGTTTTATAACTTATTTTCTTAATGGGTGGGTAAAATGTGCTTTTAAACATACCAGTACTCCATCACGGTGGAATAAGAAGCAAACAGGCAACGTCTGATAGCATGTATTCCCCGTAGAGGGAAAAATCTCAGACAGATGCTAATGTAGACAATTAAAAAAAATGGTATTTTTCTAAATCCCTGGAACGATTCCACAACTACCATCAATTGCATTAGAAAGTGAGAGAAAAAGTAGTCATCCACCAAGAAAAATGTACGTTTCTTTAGCATCTTGGTAGAGCAGATGATATTCCTTAAAATAAGTTTTTAAAACTAAAAACATATTGATATTTGAATTTTAATCAGAGGTTACAAGCCCTGGAATAGAAGTAATGTATTAAGAAGTTCATCTTATCCTTCTGTAATGATTCAACCTACTGGGTATACGTTTGCTTAAGAACTAGATATAACATATACATGTATATAATCTAATAAATCACAGCATACAAAATCTATGGTGCTTTTATTATGTTCTACCAGTCCAAAGAAAAATAAGTAACTGAAATATTTAGAAATACTTTTTTTTTTTCCTTTCACTACTTTCCACTGGCTGCCATGTAGTATAAGCGCATAGATATGAAAAAATCAGTGCAGAAAATCTTCTCTGTGCTGGACTTAATGATAAAATACTTAAAAGTGAGTCAATTTCATAACCAAGATACTGATTCAAGTCACTCACATCTAAACTCAACTGTTGTGTCATGGGGTTTTGAACACATGGGCAAATTCATCCTGGCCAGGCAGCAGGATTGGGAGAGCAGTCACAAAGCAGCCCCTCAAGGGCAGCTGCTTTAAGCCACCTGCTGAGAAGTGGCTTCATCTTGAATTAATTCACAGCAACACACCTGAAAGCCACAGCACACAGCCAACTGCTTCTCACAGAGCATTGGCTGCTGCTCCCACACCCCTGCGCCCTCATTCCCTCCTGAACTAAGGCGACCTTACCACTGCAACCCTCATACATGCATAACCAAGCTTAAGCAGCACAAACAGCCTTCCACAGGCCATTTCCAATGCCCGACTTACATTTAAATAATTACACTTCTTACCTTTATTTATGCATGGAATTTATTTTGAGGCCTGCAACACTTAGTCTGATTGAACCCTTCTAAACATAAAATTACACACAGAAGCGTCCTAAACTGATGTTTTGGATGGTTCTGCTGACCAGCAGAACAGGTGCATCAAAGACAATAGTTCAGATTTCCATAAACTTCAACCAGTTCTCACATCACGTAAAGAATCAGGTTCCTCCATGCCCAAGAGGTGTTTTTCTAAGAAGCATCTTCCCCTAGCCTTGTTGATTTGGAAGAAATTGCTCTCCCCCTGTCTAGGTTGATGTAGCAGCACCCTAAACACTCAGCCATCGGGAAGCAAAATAAATTGTTAATGGTTTTAACTTCCCATCAGCAGCTGATGAAAACAGGAGCCACTTAGAAATCCATTACGTGGCCAAAATTCTCTATCTAACTGAGTAAGTGAAATAATATGAGTGCAATAAAATACCTAGCTTTGACTCAAGGCTTTAGTTACATTATATGCATATGTAAAGTTATTCTCTGCTGATTTAGACTTAATATGTGCTGTCTGAAGCCCAGATCAGCAGAGCAGTACGTGAAGTAAAAAGCATCAAGTAACACAATGACAGCAGAAAAGGGGACATCATAAACCAGCACAGAAACACCCATAAATATACATTTTTGAGCTAAACACTGTTTGGAAGAGTGTAGCAGTCAACATAGAAACAACATACTCTTTGATACATGCTGCTCTCAGGGAAATAATGTTTCAGAAAGAAGTAGGGATACATCAAATAAATAACTAGTTATAACAAACCCCCCGCCTTAGGAGGTTCATCTGGAAGAACTTGTATATGGCACAGACAAGATCAATAAAAGGGATATTATATTTTGGATTCTTTGTATTTTAAACAATGCCAGCAAGCTTTTTTTTTTTTTTTAAATTTGGAAGGGAAAGAGAATTCTTTATATGTTTTTTAACTATCGTCTGCTTTTCTTAACCACGAAAACCACTAAAAGCTAGAAAAGGTAACACTTTTCCTCTTTGAGACAAAACAGGAATGATGCCTTTGACCACTAAACTGACCTCTGGAAGGATGCTATTTCAGGCTTAATCAGTATTTTCTTTTAATAGATAGAATGGATCGGAAGAGCTGAAACTTGCACTTGCCGTTAGAGGCAGGCAGCTTTACATACCAATAAAACCTTAAACCCTCCCTATATTGAGAAGCGTAAAACTATCTAAAGCGTTGGTAGCATGCCAGACAACAAGAAAAGGAAGTTAAGGACCGCAATAAACACATTTTCACGGCTTTTACTGTTAAAAAATGCTTACGGGGGAGCTGACAGGGGGCAGCTGAGCGCCCCCCTCACTTGCCTCCCCACCCCCCAAAGCAGCCACCCCAAACTCCAGCACCGAGCCTGCCCCTTCCCCTCAGCATTTGGGACAACCACCAGGAGCCTTGTTTGCGGGGCAGAACCCCCAGCGAGCCCCTTTCCCCACTCCCCACGGCGCTCAGCCGTCTCCACACCCCCGGGGGGGGCCACCCCGGCCGCCCCGTCCCGCCGCGGGCCCCACCTGCACTTTCCGCCGCCCCGCCGTGTTCTGCCGGTGATGCGCCGCCATCTTGCATGTTGACACTCTGACGTCACTTCCGAGGAGGGCGAGCCGGACCGGAAGCCGCTTTCCTTTCCCCCCCCCCCCCTCCCCGATCCCGCGCGCTGAGGCGAGAAGGGGCGAGGCCTGCGGCGGAGGCGTTGTTAAGGAGACCGGGAGGGGGCGGGGTCATGAGGAGGGGGCAGGGCCAGAGCTCCCGCTTCGCCCCTGGCCTCCTTGCGCCATTTTGTGCCCGCAGTGGGCGATGTCCCGCCCTTCCTAAAATCACACAGTCACACAGTCACACAATCATATAATCACAGAATTACAATCATTAAGGTTGGAAAAGCCCTTCAAGATCACCTGGTCCAACCATCCCCCTACCACCGATGTCACCACTAAGCCATGTCCCCAAGCACCACGTCCAACCTCTCCTTGAACACCCCCAGGGACGATGACGCCACCACCCCCCTGGGCAACCTGTCCCAATGCCTGACTGCTCTTTTGGAGAAATGTCTCCTCAATTCCAACCCGAACCTCCCCTGGCACAACTTGAGGCCATTCCCTTAGTCCTATCACCGGTTATCTCCCCACCCCTTCCTTTCAGGCAGTTGCAGAGAGCAATGAGGTCTCCCCTGAGCCTCCTCTTCTCCAGACCAAACACCCCCAGTTCCCTCAGCAGCTCCTCACAGGACTTGTGTTCCTGGCCCTTCATCAGCTTCGTAGCCCTTCTCTGTACACACTCCAGGGCCTCAATGTCCTTGTACTGCGGGACCCAAAACCAAACACAGCACTTGAGGTGCAGTCTTAGCAGAGCAGAGTACAAGGGGACAATCAACTCCCTGCTCCTGCTGGCTGCACCATTCCTGCTACCAGCCAGGATGCCCTTGGTCTTCTTGTCCACCTGGGCACACTGATGGCTCATGTTGAGGCGACCATCAATCAGCACCCCCAGATCCTTTTCCTCTGCACAGCTTTCCAACCACTCTGCCCCAACCCTGTAGTGCTGCATTGGGTTGTTGTGGTCAAAGTGCAGGACCCGGCACTTAGCCATGTTGGACCTCATCCCACTGGCCTCTGCCCATTGACCCAACATGTTCAGATCCCTGTACGGGGCCTTCCTACCCTCTGGTAGATCAACAAGTCCCCATAGCTTGGTGTCATCTGCAAACTTACTGAGGGTGCACTCAATTCCCTCATCCAAGTCTTCAAGGTATTAAAGAGGATGGGCTCCAACATCAGCCCCTGGGGAACACAACTGGTGACCAGTCACCAGCTAGATTTCACTCCGTTCACCACTACTCTCTGGGCCTGGCCATCCAGCCAGTTTTTAACCCAGCAAAGAGTGTATCTGTCCAAGCCATGGCTGCCAACTTCTCCAGGAGAATACTGCAGGAGACCATGTCAAAGGGTCTCCAAGTACTGTGTCAAGGACTGTTTCCTTGACCATAGAGCCACCTCCTCACCTGCGTTGCTGCTCCTTGCTTATTTTATTTATTTAATTTCCATGCAGTGTGGTAGCCTAAGAGCCATGTTTTTACCCCTGCGAAAACCCCAGAGGCCAGGGCTGTGGGCTGATTTCTTTTCACCCTGTCGGGAGGGCTCTGCTTGGGGCTGAGGTGCTCACCCAAGGCTGGTGCCGTGTCCCAGCCCTGAGGGGCTCCAGCTCCAGCTCACCGGCAGTGCTTCCAAGGTGCTCGAGGCTTTACACACACACTTCAGGGTACTCAGGTCCAAAGCCTTTGTTTTAGGAGTCTGTGGTGGGGGTCAAGTGCTCAGCCCCCATTTGAGTCTCTCTCACTGAGCTGATGGGAAAGACTCATCTGTCTTCCATAGAGAGACGTGGAAGATCATATTGTCTTTTCTAATGTAAAAATAGTGCCTGAAGTTGTGAGTTTATGGCTGTATGAAGTTCTTGTGGTGGTTTTACCATGCTGGGCAGCTAAACCCCACAACCACTCGCAGGTGGTTTTCCCAGGGTGAGGCTCATCTCCTGCACTCCGGGTGTGCTGACCCCTGCGATTTCCCCAAATGCGGGAAACTCGACTGCATAATTTGTGGTAGTGGGGGACTGCGTTTGCGCTCTCCCCTGGTTGAGGAGGACCGACGTCTTCTCAACGAGAGCCCACCCCTCCCCTCTTCTTCCTGTTTCCACCTTTTATTGCTGAGTGTGACATCACATGGTATGGAATATCCCTTTGGTTGGTTTAGGTCAGCTGCCCTAGTGATGTTTCTCTCCTCACTTTTTGCCCATCCCCTAGGAGGGTTAGAGAAAGGCCCAATACTGTGCCACTGCTGCTCAGCAGTAGACACAACACTGGTGTGATAACACTGCTGTTCCAGCTACAAGTACAGAGTACGGCACTGTATGGGCTGCTGCCGGGAAAGTTAACATTCCAGACAGACCCAGTACAGTTCTACACTGATTTTCAGAGATACACCTCCCAGTTTCAAAGCATCTCTTTGGCACTTAAACCATTAATGCATCAAGTGTTGGGTTGCAGCAGTAACTATATTCTGGGTAAAGATCTGTATAGAATTGTGTATAGGGCTGTGTTCTTGGAAAGCATTTTTTTACACTGATTGCTTCATTATGGTAGAACTGTAAACAGTAAAGGAACTGGTGAATTGGATGGAGGATTGGTAATAGGTAATGACAAAAATTTACCGTGAAAAAAAATGGGTAAAGGGGTAAGTGGAAAATATATATTTTCATATATTCACGTTCATTTATTGCTGATTATAGTCATAACCAGAAAATTCAATGGCCATTCACTGATGCTAATATAAGCTTTGCTTATCTTGATATAGATCACATTTTCTAGCATTGCTGAGTGCACTGTGTCACCATCACAACTACAGGTAGAGGCTAAGGTTCTGAAATGAGATCTGCCTTGACCACAGCCCTTCCTTAACTGCAGTATTTCTACTATTTTATGCTATTACAGCAGTGGGAAGTATATGATTCAAAGCATTTAAGACAAATATGGAAAAGTTTTATTGTTGAACACAATTTTCTCTTAGATAAAATTAAGGCTTTATTTTATTACTTATTTATTTTGAAACAAGAATTTAGTTGTGTACTAGCTTCAGACTAACGGTAATTATCAGAGCATTTCAGATGCTGATATGCATCGCCTATGTAATCTTAATGGACTGTGGACTAAACAAAGAGGCAGAAGTTTTCAGCTTAAGTAAATTCTGAGCCAAGTGCCTTACTACCTTTCAGTATGCATTAGTCCATTATGAGGTTTGAGATTCTTTTCATAGCACAATAATTTTCACACATACTTCAGTTTCTCTCTTTATGTTTCTCTTAAAGATATTTACGTTTGTTTATGATTTTTCTGTTACTCTGAAAAAATAAATGGAATAATTTAATTCATAAACCCTACTAATCATAATCGCAAGTGGATTATTCACTTGCTAGAGTTAATCTTCATATTATGTCTTCAAGGGCAATCTTCTTGCTTAGTATATTTGCTTTAAAATTAGATTTGTTTATAGACTGAGGACCTTTGCTATTTACATTGTTGTGCAGTTTTAAAATTGCTTTTCCTCTCTGTGTGACTATTTGTGGATAGTCCCTGCTATTAGTATATATACTCCAGTGTTTCAAAAACCTTTCATGTCAAGAATTAATTACTCAAAGGAGAAAAAAAAGTGCACAGTGATCACTGTATCAGAATCATTGAAGTTGGAAGTGACCTCTGGAGACTGTGTAGTCCAACAAAGGTCATATTTGCTGAGGGCTGCTAAAACAAAAGAATTATCATAGTGATAAGTGATAAGTTTCAGGCTTCTGTGTATATGTTTAGTAAGTCTGAATTGTTACAGAGTCCTAAAGACAATATTACACTAAAATGTGGTAGGTAAGGTTTTTTTTTTTTTTTTTTTTTTTTTTTTTTTTTTTTTTATTGCAGTAAATCTTTGAGTCTTCCATTATTTTTGTGTTATTTTAGAAAAGTGATGAGATCATCTCATTTATAACATTAGCTCTGGGTTTTGGCAGAGGAGTAACATGATGTATATGTGAGTCCAGGGATTGTTTTTCAATTTCCCTTAAAATCTGATCATCTTTGGCTAAACTGTGAATTTCTGAAAACACGAGTGCAAGCAAACAGAAGTTGGGCCAAAAAAGGACGTGTAAGAGTATGGAGCTTGGTTCACAGGTAAAGCCAAGACATGGAGATGAGGAGAAAACAAAATGGATGTTTATTGGATAAGTAACCACTGTAAAAAAAATAAAAATACAAAGATATTTCCTCAATAATGATAGGGTGAAGAATGCTATAGCATTTGCCAGCTGTTTCTCTGTGTTGTTCCAGCCCCTCTTTGTGAGGTTTGGCTGCTACAGCATTAAAGAAAAAAAAATCTGAAAAGAATTTAGAAATAAGCTGTAAGAATGATTTGGAGCCTGAGAAGTAGGAATTAGAGTGAAAAATTCATATGGTTTTTGTCTATAGAAGAGAAGATTAAATGAACCATTATAGCAGTTTTCAAATAATTAAGAAGAAATATGGAATAAATTTGTTTACATGTCCATGATGAAGACAAGAAGTAATGGACTGAAATTGCAGTTCAGAAAAAAATATATGAAGCACAAAAAAAACAACTTTATTGGCAGTGAGCATAGTGAAGCACTAGAGTATGTTGCATATGGAGGTTTTGAAATCAGCATCTGTTGTAACAAGAAAGTAGAGAAATATCTCCAGGAATTACATCAGGATAATTGATACTGGTTTGGGCTAACGCATGAACAAGGTGGCTTTAGGATATCACTTCCAACTCTGTTTTTAAATATAAAAGAGAATGTTTTTCATAAGCAAAAAGCTCTTTAATCTTCTAGGAAATGCTGTAATAGGCTATGTAGCTTGGAGAAGAGCTACATAAATTCAAGCTATGAAGAAGACGTGCTTTTTAAGGCCAGCTAATCGCTGAAGAAATTCCCCAAAGGACGTGATAGATTCTACATAGCTTGAAGCCAAAAGTATTGCAGCCAATACATAATTTATGGGCATGACTCAGTGGTAACTGCTTGAGATTGCTGTATTTTTTCTGTATTTTACAGGGTGCGAAAGTTGGTGATTTTAATTCCTATTCAATTTTATTGTGCAACTGATTTTTCCTGGGATATCATGTTCTACAAGTCTTTTTTTGAAGTAACATAATCTTTAAGACTCCTTCATTTCCAAAATCTGCTGTAAAAGTCACAAAAACGTATTCACAGAACAACGTGAAATAGTTAACAGTCTTTGCTGTGTTTCTCTGGTGTGTCTGTAACTGAACGTCCTGATGCTGGTTTAAGGTCCAAAAAGTTGCAGAGTTCATCTGAAATAAAGTTACGATTTTAGATGAAAGTCTAAAGACACACAATTTTCTTGTATTATGTTTCTTGCATGGTTCAGAATGAGGGAATATTTGTAGAGATTCAATGAAAAATACTTCAAATCAGTTTACGATCCTTTTATTTTTGAGTGCTGGATGAGAAGAGACATTTTCCTCATGGCACAGAGGGACAAGAGTTGGTGGAGTCACTCAGGCAGGTGACTGAGCACGTATCACAGTGGGTCCACTGAGCAAAGGCTTTGTGGATACAATAGCAAAATGGTGACCACATAAGCATTCTTAATGACTGGAGTTTCATGTAAGTAGAAGATATGGTGCCAGTATGATGGCAACTAGAAGCAAAGACATAAATTCTCAAGCCATTTTGAAAAAATGAGATGCCCAAGTTAGCTGGAGAGGAGGGACAGACAGAACTGAAGTCCAGTTAGTTTGTTTTTAGATTGCAAAGCTGCTTGGTATTGTTGCATTCTTGACAAAAAGTTGAATTTAGACTTTAATCTTATAGGGAGCTATGGTAAGAAGTATGTTTAAAACCAAATGCTCAGTCTTTGATAGAGCTCTTCCATTTGTCATTTCATAACTATGTTTGCAGGCATGCGATATAAGGTGAGACTTCAAGAGTAAGCTGTGTAAGCAAGAGTGCATCAGAAATACTGGAAATCTTTCAGAAATGGTATTAGCAATGTTTGCACGCTTATAATAAGCATGTTACTTTTGAGAAATACAAAATGCTTCATAAATACCTAACTGTTTTTCAGAATACTGAGAAGAAACATGGAGTGGCTTGAACTTTAGGCACTGAGCTAATTTTCAGACTTACTCAGTGTACATTAGGTCATTAGGCAGAAAGCTACTTTGTGTAACAACACATTTAATGTGTACTTACCCTAAAAGCTATTTCCTGTTATTCTGTAAAACCAATTAGCTATTTACTAAATACCAAATTGCATGTCCGTGTGATTTCTTATTTCATTGTGCACAACGAAGAAAGGAAGATGGGAATCAGATGAATTATTACCTTGAGAAATTCATCACATCCTTTACACTACTATTTTTTTTTTCTAATAGGGATTGGAGCACACCTTCAGTGTATCTCAGACATGACCGTTGACCTGAGCCCCTGAATTTTTCTCACTGACAAACTCTCGCCTTTACCTAATCTGTATAATATAAATCTATATTCTGTATAATATATAAATATTATATATTATGCTGTATATAAATATACATAATGTAACATAATAAATGTATATAAATATATTATTCTGTATATAAATATATAAATATTACATATTATATATTCTGTATAATATATAAATCTATATTCTGTATAATATAAATCTACGTATTCTGTATAATATAAATCTGTATATGCATGTTTTTTGTTTGTCTGTTTTTGCTTTATTCTACGTATAACATTTCTTTATTGTGCATTCCAGGTATAGCAAAGAAGGTGTATTTCTTTTTGCCTGCTGTTCCATATCGCTCGGTTCAGGGGTTATGGTATTTTATGCAGGGCATTCCTGGCATCTCTTGCTCATTTAGGTCTTGAAATTAATCCTGAAGCTTCTGGCCAGCAGCTGAATTAATTTGGTCCGCAATGGATGCATTTGAGTTTGCATTGTAATAGGGGTGTGTGCATTATTTAGAGAGAGCTCTTAATGTGATATGTTGGCTGTTTTGTAGTATTCCCCAATTGCGGGCATGCCTCTCTCTGTCTGCAGATTTTAGGTACACACAGGA